TAATGTGTTTCGTATGTTACTGATGCAGTTGGTCTGCTTATCCCCGAGATTGCACAGATAAGGCCTTAGCCATCGTTCCACAGTCAGCCACCTGCTCTGATAAGGGCCAAGCACGATGCAAGACGGGGTGGAACCTAACACTGCTGATAGCATCTCTGCGGCAAATCTCCGGGCACAGGAATGTGTGGACACGGGAAGACGTAGTAAAGAACATGAAATATCCGCAAGGTGGGAGAAAGAAAACAAGATCCCAAGTCTGGAATAGAATTGAACAGGACACACAAATATACACAAACATGCAGTATAACGCATACTGCTCTCCTCCTCTCTCCACTCTCCCTTGATACCGCTCATTCTCACAGTCAGACGTACACAAAAATGCGCACATGCATACCAGCCCCCAACCTGCATCCACCATCTGGCCTTCCCAAGGCTCAGATGTCTCTGGGGTAAGGTGAGCTGTGAGGGGGACTCTATGTCCGTATGCATTAAGTCTGCATGTATGTGAGAGAGACAGAGATAATCGATGAGAGAGAAAAGGAGTTGAGAACGAATGTGTTTGCGACGACAGAAAGAGAGAAGAGAAGATGAGAGAGAGAAACAGAGAGGAGTGAGAAGCCAGTGATCATATTGGTCTAGAGAAAATACCCACTATAGAGGAGACTGCAATATGTGAAAACCATATCATGAAGGAAAAAAAAACCTGCACAGACCACAGATACTTTCCACGTTGCCTGCATGCAAGCACAATACTTTCAAAGTAAGGCAGTACAACCCATTCAGAGCACTGCAGGTACATGAGCTGCAGGCAGGGGTCTGCACTGGGGGTCGTCATAGCTGACTAGGCCGCGTAAGCGCACCTTAACACCGAGTAGTCTTTTCACTGTGGGCAAAATAAAGCCTCCATTATGGGATGAGGCCATGTCTGCTGCCCCTGCCAGCCATAATGGCTTTAGCACTCTACTGACGATACAGGCACCCAAATGTACAATACACACAACGCAGTACAAAACGAGTGGAAAATTGAATTCTACTTAAGGTGGTCCCAGGTCAGTAGTAGTGCCCCTGGCCAAAATACACTTGTACACTCATGTGAGCACTCTCTCCCTCTCTCTCTCTCTTTCTCTCTCTGTCACACACACACAATGCTTCATGTCCTACCACCTCAATCCACAGGCCTATGTTGCGCTTACATTTTCATTCTTTTCTTTTCTAACCATTCGAAATGAGAGAGCAGAGGAAAGGCGCAATCTTGCATTCACATCCATTAGAGACTCAACAGGACTCTTTTCACAGGCTGTCTCCCCTGCACAGCTGGTGAGCTCACACGCACGAACAATTTACACCATCGAGTAGTAGAGAGTTCTTAACTCAATACTGCTGTAACCTTGCAAAGCCAGTCTATAGCACTACGAGCACAGGTTTCACTACTAGATTTAAGTCTGTGAAACTATTGAGAATCATTTGAGCCTGACCAGATACATGTTCAACAAACCTGGCAACCTGCAGTGTGTTTAGATGATGTGACCAAAATTTTAACTAGGTGTATAAGATATCAAATGAACCATGACTTTACAACTACTGGCTTACTTTTTTGCCTTACACTGATTTTGGATTAAATCACAGCCAACATGCTTTTCTACTTCAAAAATGCGAAACAATGACCAATAACAGCCCAGAGAGGGCTCCAATCAGGGTGCAGCTAATGTGTAGGTAGCTTTGCAGGAATACTACTGTAATCAAAGTCACCCAACTCCAATATCTTGGCTGCTCTGATTAGAAATAAAGATTCAATCAAAATGCGATAAGAGGCAGATTCTGACTGCTCTCCACAGTGAGGTCAGAGCAGTGGGTCAGCAAGAAGACAATGCCCCCGGACCCGAGTCTTGTTCAACAACACTTTAGCAGGCCAGTTACTTGCTGACACAGGGGCTGGAACTTCTCCTTCAACTTGTCCTCTAACCTTTCTTATCAATATGCCACTAACACTGCTGATTAATGTATATCAACAGTGTGAGGTTTTCGACCTCCATAACTATTATTTGATGCTTAGGCGATCATATATTGTTTATTCAGCTGCAATATTCTCCATTCCAACCACTTGGCCCCTGAGTATAGAACAGGTACTTAACACAGCATCCACAGAGACGGCCCGGTGTTCGTTTGCTTCCACAGCTTTGTTCAATTGCAGGATACTCTTTTGTAAAGCATGCGTACTGTATCTTTTCTCAAACTCACTGACCACTGTCCTTCCATCTCTCTCATCTTTTTTCCTTATCTCCCTCGGTCCCTGTCTATCTTTTAACTGCTGTTTCATCCCTCCTCCCTCCGTTCCTCTTCTCTCCACCACCCAGTTCCAGGCCGTTAAATGAGCGGGCTTATCTAAGCCTAATTGGTTTAAGGGCAAACAGAAATAAGCAATGGCTCTGTAAGTAGGGGAGAATTACTGCTGCTGTTGGCAAGAACCGTCCGCACACCACAGAGAGAGAGCGAGCGGAGGAGGAAAGAAGGGAGACAAAGAATTGGGAAGATTGGTGAAAGAATCGTATGGGGCAAGACAGAGTAGATAAGAAATGGGGCGGCGGACGGTCGCTGATAACGAACCGCCCCGTGCAGAGAAGTGCGAGGATGGGAGAGGAGACGAAGTGCGGATAAGAGAAGACAAATGAGGTAGAAACAGGGCACTGCACATGCTTCTTTTTCTAATGGTATGCAAATCTCCGTCTTTGCTCTCCTCTCTGTTAGCCCTTTGCTTCAGGTCTGACTGCTCCTTCAATAACTTGTCGGCAAATGCATTTCTGTTTGCAGATATCATGTCTTCATGTGTGCGGGATTGTGTGCGTGTGTGTGCGCTGGGTAGCGTGTATAGAGTTTAAATCCAACAAATTCAAAGTTCTGTATTCAACTTTACACTCAATTAAACTGCTTTGGTTCTTTATTGTGCTTAATTTAGACACACAAACGCACACCTTTACACTGTAACACACGCGCCGCTGCATACTCAAGCTTCAACTCTCCATCTCATTTTTCTGTAATGATCATCCGTCTCCCATCTATCCATCCATACTTAGGAGTATTTCCTTCCTATGATTTTCCTCCCACAGTTCATCAGTTCATCAATGATGTGAGTGGTGTTTACTGTGAGTGTATGCATGTGTAAGGATGTCAAATAATTCATTAAATTCAGCCATGGCCATATGTGTCCATATGGTCAGGGGGGCTACTCACTCTAAGTTACAAACACACCCAGACACACACATGCACACGGATCTTTGACACTTTGTGATTATCGGCTGATTTAGACTCGTAATCAGATTAAGGGCGAGAGGAGAGGCAGGGATAATGTGGTCAATGGCTTCAATCTCTCTCACACACACACACACACACACATAAAAAAATGAAAGAGCAACAGATTGGAGTTCAGATCAGTGAAGATTTTAACCTGCCCATGGGACAACCTCCTTTCAATTAGCAACCCAAACAAGGAAATCACTTTCATCCTTGTTACCGAGGTAACTAGGGGCCACCTCCCAGCCCATCTGTTTTTCTCTCATCCTATCTTTTACAGAAGAAATCTCAAACCCCTTTTTTCTTGCTGGGAAAATTTCCCTCCTCCCTCTCTTCCTCCCCTCATCTATCTGAATTGACATTTCTGCTGTCACTTCACACTGGGTAAACATTTGAACCTCAAAATATCCATCCTCGCAGAGGTAGCAATTTGGGCCTCGGTATCCATAGCTGTGTTGAAATCTGATGAGCACAAACAAGAAAGCCAATGCCGAATTACAGAGCACAGCCTGGACTGGAAGCAGTCCAGGAGCAGAGTTGTAAATGATTAAAGAGAAAAGCTGCATGTGAGCAAACTAATTTTATTTGTGCTTCTAGTTTACTTATTTATGATTTTGGGCAGTGTCTACAGACAGCCATGAGAAGCTGGAGTGTTCCTGTGTGTTTTTTTATTGGAGAGGATGAGCTACTGGACAATAAAATGAGAGAAGACACTATATACCCATGACACTGCTGGTATATCCATCCAGCAGCCAAGGTCTGAGGCTACAAGCACAGTGTTCGGTCCCCAGGGTCCCACAGCGGAAATGAAAAACATGTTTAACTGAGGAGATATTAGCTTTTAGTGGCACTACCCTTGTCCAGAAGTGTGTGTGTGAGAGAGAAAGAAAAGAGGATAGAGGAGGAAATGCAGAAAGACAAAGCCAGAGAGGAGGGAATGGAGATGGAAGAGGAGAAAAAATACAGGGACACTGAGAAAAAAAAGGAGAGGCAGTAGCAGTTTGTTTTCTTTCTTTAACAGATTTGCAAAACTAAAAAAAGAAAAATGTAGTATAAAAGCATAAAATCCAGGTTACATGGGGACTGTGACCGTGATATCCGCGATCTATGAGAGTTTGCAATTCCAAAATGCCACAGAATGATGCTCAGGGGTTCGTAGTAATAGTATTTTATATGTACAATTTAATGAAAAAACGTGACACTAATCCTCGGAGGTTTGACAGGCACTTACAATGTAGTCTTCGTTTTCCCACCGATCAACTAATTTCTCTAGGGATGATGAGAATCTTACAATAACGCACTTTACAGAAGAGACTTCTCCTGCCTCGCACTCCGGGCTTACAGAACGGAGGAAGACTTAAGAGTGAGAATAACTGATTTCTAAGCGCACAGCCAGTAATGAACTAAAACATACGGAACGTGCGCTATTAAATAAATTTTAAATCACACCGAGCATCGTTCTACACACGGACGGGTGACAGCAGTGACAACCGGCGAAGCGGGAGGTCTGCCGCTCCGGAATAAAGGGATAACCACGGCGATCTGCTGCGATCCACGTGTATGACATCCCTGTATCCCCTATGTCAGAGGCGCAGCGCTGGCCAACAGAAGAAAACCCCGCTGCAAGCATCCCCACACACCGCGCGTCTCGGGAAAAAAGGAGCACTTCCACCACATCTACAACAAAGTACAATCCCCACTCTCTTATTTACCTTCCATCGCAGAAGATGTGACGACCAGCACGCATAAAAGCGCAAACAAATCCACTGTCATGGCAGAAGGGTAGTCTCCACAGCCGGTCCCCAAATAACCAAAGACGCACGGCGCGCGTCAAAAAGAATCCCTCAGTTGTCAGAGCGGTACTCCAGCAGATAGCCTGTGTTGTGAGTCACATCTCAAGCGGTAGTAAACAATGTGTGACAATCAGCACAGGGGAAGAACGGAGTGTAGGGGCTGAGGGGTGCGAGGAGCAGGGGGGGAGGAGTAGGGGAGGAGAAGGTGGTGGAGGAGAGTGGTGGTGGTGGTGGTAAGGGGGAGGGGGGGCGACATTGCCTGCTCACAGCCCCATTAGAGCGCCAGGGCCAATCACCGACTGCGAGCTGAAACTCACTAACCAATCACCAGACCGCCGCTCCGCCCACCTCGCATTGTCAAAACACAAAACTTTTCCTTGACCTATTTGAAGCCGCGTCCGCTTCACTAAAGGGAAATATCGCCACCACTCGGGTGACTGCAACTACTGCAACCCCCAAGCACACATTCGAGCCAAGCCGTCTCCCATGGGAGAGGATCTAAACGGGCTGCATACTTGCTCAGTGCTCTGTGAGACTGGTTCAAAATAATGCTGCTGTTGAACAGTATAGCAGGCTCTGTGATGTCCCAAAAGGCTTGCTCACTTTCCCCTTGTTGAAAGTGTGTGCTACAATAAATTTTATCCTGACTTATGACATTAAAAATTCATTTATAAAAATTACAAGGATGTCCTGCACAATTAAGACTCCCAAAAGCCAGCTGAGCAAGGTCTTTCACTCTATTTTCATTACTAAACAACAGCCTGACAGTTTGTTTGCCAACTCCCCCACCCCAACCCAACCGTTTAAGTTGCTAACCATTCTTTTTTTTTTTTTTTAAAGCCTGAAGTAGCCTGATACGTGGTCTGGCAGCCTCACTCTCCCATTATTCTCACATTCAGTGTAAACCCCATTTGCAATGAGAATGTTCTTTAATAGATTTAGCAAATTCAACTGCACCTCCTAATGATATTAAACAGGCATCACACATCAGCTCCCTCCCTTTGCCCCCCGTCACCCCTTTTGTGTGAGCGTGTGCTGCAACAGATGGTACACACAATGGGCTTTTCCCTGAAGGGACACAGAGGACCGAGGTCTGCCTCAGCCGAGGAAGCGGGCAGTTGCCGCCCTGTAGCCCAGAACCATACACCTGTCTTGGGCTAGATATGTCTCCCCCCTGAAGTCCCTGGAGTTGAAGAATTGGGATGGAGTTGTTAATCTACAGCCTGAGTAGGCCTGGTTATACCCGGGGCCACTGGATGGCCTAATACTTCAGAGCTGTCCTTTCACAGCACACTGGCCCAGATACTTTTTACCTGCTTTACTTTTTATGGACTTAATGAATGGGTTGAACAGTAGGGTTTTCAAAATATTATGTAGCTTATAAAATGGACGCCTATATTTTATTGCACAGTTAGTACGTGTGGATCTTAAAGAGACCACACTTCACTCTTAAGTGTGCAGCTCTTTTCCTAAAAAGCCTAAACTGTTTTCACATCTATCCTTTGTTCCCCTTTGCAATTCAACTCCTAACCTTTGCAATGACAAAAATCAAACACATTGTAAATGAAAAGTGACTCACACTTAATAAATGGTTGTTCCAACTGTGGCAAAGGCCGGCAGATGAACTGGGGCAGACACAGTGCTTCAGGAGCATCAGGCAGCGGTTGCTAACTTGGGAAAGCAGTTGATGAGAGCATTTGTCATTTTTAATGGTGTGGTGAGGAGTGGCGCTATAGTGTGACATGGCACAGCACAGCATGGCCCCTGGTGCTGGCTGCTATGTAAGCCTATGATAGCCACCTGGCCTTATTTTTCACCAATCATCATCACCTATGACTCCACAGGTCATCTCCAAATACAAGAGCAGCACAGAGCAATCTGTCCCTGTTTCCTGTCCACACCCTGGGGGTGGGGGGAGGAAGGAAGAGTATGAGGGGAGGTAGGAACAATAGTGAGGCTGCTGTAGCACATCCTCTCTTACAATGCACACACAGACAAGCGCTTGCATACAATAACACAAATGTGCGTGCAGTTGCTCACCCACACAGCACTCTGATAATGATCCACACAAAGCCCCACAAGCACTTGCCTACTTCAGCTCAAGAGCCTCAACCCAATACCAATACTGAGCCCAAACACGTTGTAGAGAGCCTCTCATTCTCTCTGTGGCCTGATTTTGTCTGTGTGGTTAAGCTTGCAAGAGCAGCATCCCAGCTCGATTTTGTTTTCTTCATTCCTCCACTTCTCTATTTCTCCATTCAAGGCCAGATTCAAGCAACCTCTCTGAGTGGGGTATTCTCTCTGACTTGTGTTTGATTAAATGTTTTTCCATTCCCTGCATTCTGTGATTTGACCCCAAAGTTATTGCGCTTTTGACCTGTAAACATCCAACCAGCGTCTACCTCTCCATGGCCAATGTGCCATGACCTTTACATTTCTCCTCTCTGTCTGTTTCCTGATTCCAGTTTGGTAGCTGGAAAAAAAACACAGTTGTTCTATTTTTCAATAGAGTCAGGCAGGAAATACAAAATAATGTGTGGTTTGTTCTGTGCACTGACAACAACACTGAGAACAAAAGAGTACCTGTCATACACAAGGAAGACCTTTTAGGATGAGAAGGCGAAGAGAGCAATGTTAAATCAGACGCACACTCATTATTTAGATATGTGATACAGAAGTGCATAAGAAGATGTACACACATAAAAGAGCTGGATGATTTTAATGGTACAGAATGAGAAAGGCAGAAACAGACGCAGCAATGAGAGAGATGTTTCCCAGCGACCATGGAAGGTTTGTCTGGTGATGAATATGAATGCATGAAAATGAAATGCCTAAGTCAATATAGAGACAGTGCAGGGACCCAGGTGACAGAGGAGTGCAGTGCTACACCCACCCTCGGGGGATAGACTGGTTATTAGGCTGGGCTTTAGCTTCATCCATCTTCAGGAGTCTGGGCACTGGCCATTGACAATATGAGTACAGAGGCAGGGCTGAATACAGATGTGCTCTGGACCAGTGTTCCCCAAATAGAGGGTCAGGACTCAGTAGTGAGTTCCATCTACGGCCGTACTTTCTGGGTCACGGCTCAAGAGAGGCGATGGAAAATAGGTTCATTGTGAGGGGATGCATGGTTAAGTTTGCCTCAAAATGTATTTTTTAAAGCCTGCACAGGCAAAGGGCAGCACAAAAGTTTCACTACAAAATATAACTCCAAAGACAATCTTCTTAAGTGGACTAAAAAATGCAGATACAGCTGTGAAATATTCTCACTGTCTACTAGTCAGTCACATTCAACCAAATGTCTACATATATGAAATAAGAGGGTTATTTGAGTTTCGAGAGTAGAACGACTCTGACAGTAGGTCAGACAGGGATACAAGGCAGGAGCTAAATACAGCACTCCCATTAATCTGCCAATGATGCCAAGACTGATGGTACCTGTCCCCTGCTATCAGCACACAGACACTTCAGAGACATTCCTTGCACTTCTCTGATACGGAGCGAGACACGGAAAGACACTTCTGTAGAAAAGTGGAAACTGCAGCAGAAATCTAATGCAAACAGACAGGAAGAAACCTGTATGCATACAAACAAAATATTTAATAAATGTTTATGTTTTTTGCGTGGGAAAGTGAGAGAGAAAGAGGAGAGATTACACTCCATTTCTCCTCGCTGAGATGCAGTGAAAGCATTATTTGTTTTAAGTATTGCAGTTTGATTAATAAGTCGTTAGCTCACATTCATTCTATTCAAGATTCAAGCCCTTTAGTTACCATTAATCACAACAGCACAAAGAGATTCTGCTCAGCGTTGAATGAGTAAGAGCATCATTATAGCTTGCTCTTCTACAAGTGTGTGCATGTGTGTATGCATGTGTGTGTATGGGAAACAGAGATTGACAGTGAATTTGTGTGCAAGGGGCTATATGTTCCTACTTGTATTTACTCTTGTGCGCGCGTGTGTGCACGTGTTCGCACACTGTGCATGAGCGGTGCGGCTGACATGAACACAGAATGATGGATAATAGATTGGTGCATCCCCCTCCTCAGTCACTCCATGCTCTGTCAGCTGCCATAGGGGTTTCTGCTGCAGACAATGTTCTAGCAGTGAGCACATCAATCCATCTCTCAAAAGGTGCCACCAGCCCAAAAGTGGTGTAAAAACACAAATAATCACATAAAATCCAGCACTATCAAATTCATGAACACTATAACAATTCACTGATTAATTATTTTTCTTGATGACCGTGGTGATTAGGATGCATTCATTTACTTGTGATTAGGGATCTCTAATCACAGATGAGGTTAATGGGGTTCTTGTTCATTCACCTATTCACTTGCAGCATTTAAGAAAGTTTCGTATTAACCAAGTGGCCTCAGCTCCCTCAGGTGTAATACACCTTTCAATTTATGCAGCAACCTTTTCCACCTCCTTCTGAAGAGGTTCCTTAACAACAACAACATTTGACACTTAGTAAATTGTTTTTTTTGTTATCATGGGCTGGTCGAGTGGAGAGGCTCATAAAGTAGTTTTCTGGCTACAAAAGCAACATTCAGGAGGTGGACTTGTTAATGAGGAAAAACAAAACTAGCCTGACAGCTCATCACTTTATGTCAGCTCCCAGTGACAGCCTACCCCACTCGTTCCCCATCTAGTTGCTTGTTGTTTCACAGGGACATCATCAAAATGCATCCCTCTGCGTCTCCTCCGACCTGTCTTTTTCTTCCCTCCCTGGCCCGTGACAGATAGTTGAGTACAATCTATCAACCTCAGTCAGCCTCAGTCAGGGCCAGTGCTTTGTGGAGCCACGTATGGACAGAACGCACACACAGCCCACATCCCTGGGTCCGTCATGCTAAATGGGATAAACATCTGGCAGTGGAGAGAGAGAGAGATAGAGAGAGAGACAGAGAAACAGAGAGAGAGAGAAAAACGGGGGTCAAATCAATCTGCCCTCTGTCTGCCATACACTGATCCCCTGTCATAGGCTGACCTCTGCAAAACCCTGCAAATGAAACTCTAGGGCTACATTTGAATACAAAGAGTGAAGCACTTCAGTTGGGTTTCAGCCCAGTGGTTGAGTGTACCTACCTACTGACAGTTGAACTCACTAGTCTACTGAAATGTTTATTCAGACCATCATTTTAACTAGGTGGTACAAGAGAATGTTGGAAGG